ATATAATTTTGAACTTGATATCTTGCTTATTTAGCTTAATATAAATTTTCAAAAAGTGTTCACAATAATATAGTACCTCACTGTAGTATTCAGTTAGTAAAAAAAACTCACAAAAAAAATAAACATCATAAAAAAGAACAAAAATATATCATTTTATTGATACTTATCTAATATCAAGTAGTATAATACACTTCAAAAACTCTTTATATTTGAAGTGTATTATTATTATAATACTAAAAACAAATCTTTTTTATAGCTAGAATCAAATTTTGACTATAAAAGTTATGATTTTAACATTTCACTGCTTATTCCAAAAATAAATTCAATTTAAAAATTGCTATATAGTTTAGAATTATAGACACTATATCATTAACTGCAAATGTGTTATAAATTTTACTTGCTGTTAACATTGATGTATACTATATGTAACATTATTATATATTTCATTATAGAAAATGTACTACAACCTTATTTTGCTATTTATATATGTATGCATTATGACTTATTCTACTATATACATTGCATACATATTTTCTTTTATTTTCTTGGCATAATTTTTCAGTATTGTTGTCTGAAACATTATTACTATCTGGATTAATATTTGAGAAAGGTATTCTAAGATTAAAATCTTGAAAATCAATCAATGATTATGTATTAGCCCTTTGTAGTTTAGATTTTCAGAAAATTCTTTTAATCATTTAGTTGGTAAACATCTACGATGTTTTGTAACTAAAGAATCTACTATAACTTTCTGTTTATATTAAGAACTTTTATTGTTGAGGTTTTCATACATAGATTTTTTTTGATCAATAAACTGAGTAACCATATTCATTAATTCTTTCATATACCCAAGATCAAGTGCAAGATTAATTTCCTTTTTCAATTTTTCAAATTTGTTAGTATATATGACTTTTTTGCTAACCAATTGCTTATGCTTTGAATTATACAAATTAGCACCTCAAATTTGTTCTATGATATGAAGATCTGGAACAATTATATCTGAAGCATTTTGCTAAAATATAGTTGAAATTTCAATGTATTGCTGCTATAAAATCTTTAATTCTTTGTCTTGGTAATCATTTTGGTACCAACATTTTGAAACTAATTCAATATAAAACTTTGCCATTTTGGTGTTTATCATTACTTGAAAAAAGTGGGCACATATAATGCTACAGTTAATAATAAACATGCAAGTGCATAGATGTCCATTATCACTTAACAAGATTATGTAGTGCTTGTAGACCACTAATAAATCCATAAGTTTTCAGATTTCTACAACATTATTTATATCAATATTCTTTATAAGAGATATAATAAAAATTTGAGGTCTATCGATTTGATTCTCCAGAAAACCCTCATCATAATTCAACAAAATGTTTTTATAAAAAAAAAAGAAAGCCAAATTCAAAGTTAAAAATACAATTAATCAAAAATGCACAATAAATAATAAACTAATTATTTAATTTAATTTGTAGTTTCTGAATGTTATTCTTTGATCATAGTTGCACCCAATACATAAGAGACCTAATAATTTGCCATTATTGAACAGCTAATATATGAGGTGTTAAATATATTTTCAATATTTCCAAAACCTTTGGAAATATTGACTTAGCAACTGTTAGTGCTTGATTAATAGAAAGAGAATTTAAATAGTTATTATGTTATAACCATCTAGCCTTATTATTTAATAGATTTTGTATATGTTCATGAAGATCATGCAATAAAGTAGTACTTTTTACACCTTCTTTAATTAGTCTGTTCATTATCTCAACATGTTGGATACTCTGAACTCCTGTAGTAAAATGCTTTAACTGATAATATTAGACTCATGATTTAACACATTCTTGTAATACTCGATTAAAATAATCATTTGTTTAAAGATATTTGTTTAATAAACATAACTATCATCTATAAAAATCTTCTTCAAATATACTATTTCATGCATATAAAAATTCTTTATAAAAATTATCAAATTGTTTCCCAAGTTTGCTTTGTAAATTTTTGCAAATATTTTTCTTAATATGAAAAATACATAAAAAGTAATATGTAGTAGATAGTCTTAAAGAAATAGCACTACTTAGTGTGAGTTTAGCATCCAAAAATAAAACTGCCAGAGATGTATTATGTGCTGCATTTTTGACACATTCAAGAAACCATTCATATGTTTCAGTAGTTTTATCATCAGACAATGCTTAACATACTAGCCAGGTCTTTGTGTTATTGTTAATTATTATTAAAAGTGTGAGGTACATGTTAAACCAATTTGTTTTATATATATTGTTGGTCTGAACAATATCAATATAATGAATTGGACATTGTTGTTGCATTGAAGACATCCAAAAGATTCCTGCCAGCTTGTTATCATATAGATCCATTCTAATATTAACAATTTAATCTAAATTTTGGCTTTTTAACTGTAACAAATAATCTATAAAATGCTAAGTGAAGTAGGTTTAAAAAATGAGCATATACTTATTATTAAAATTATAAAAATATCTATTGTTAAAATTTTGTTAAAATTATTACCTATGCTTCTTTATAACATTGACTAGATGTTTTTTGAAACTTTTTAACTGCATTATAAAGATCAGTTTTATGAATAATATGATCATGAAATTTTGCTATCAAAAGTAATAAGATTTGTTTAGATCCTATATTCTCTTTTGTAACATAAAATTTTATTGAGTCTAGAATTTTTGAAGACAACTTTCTATATCTTGAAGTATATAAAGATATGTTCAGTTGCATTTGATGATCATGCTTCTCCTCTATACTTGTAATAGCAACAACTTTAGAAGACTTTGGTTTTGATAGATTTATGTGCCAAGAACATGAAATTTTATTTGAGTTTTAATTGCATTGTTGAGAAAGGTCGATAACCTTGTTGCTAATAGCTTTATCAGCATATGTATATTTAAAGATATAACATTTAACTTCACCATTCCATCAACTGCTACTCTCTTTTAACATAATAAAAAACTTGCAGCTTTAGTATAATGATTGAGGCATGCTTTAGCTTCATCTTATGACATATAGGAATTGCTTACTAAAAGTTAATTCTGTTCATTATTTGGCTCAATTTCTGATGATTGAAGATTTTGTTTATCATTTGGCTCAATTTCTGAAGGTTGAAGATCTTGGCTCAATTTCTGAAGATTGAAGATCATGTTCATCATTTGGCTTAATTAAAAATATTTCTGTATGAAAAGGTATTAATTTCAAGCCTAAGCTATTTGTAGTTTCAATATCAATTGAAGAACCATTTGTAGATTTAGGAGAACTTGTATTTAAATGTTTTAAAAAAAAATTAAAAATAGTAAATCTAACTTTTTACACAGTATTCTTTGAATGATAACAATACTACCTACCTTCCATAATTTTATAACCAGGCTAGAAATAAAAGAATAATAGCAACAAAAAAAGCACAACAAGAAAGCAATAAAGGAAGCACAAAATAAGCAAACAATAAAGCACAATAAATAAGCAAGAAGGAAGCGAAAACAAACAATAATAAGCAAGTAAACAAAGAAGCACAAGTAAGCAACAAAAGCAAATGACAAGCAAGCAAGAAAGCAAGACAAGCAAACAGAAAAGAAAATTGATGTATAATTAAGGATATAGGCAAACACAATAACAAAAAGAAATATGGCAGTAAAAGGTAAATGTAATCAAAGTAAAACAGTATTGTTCATGTAAAAAAATAACTTTAATATGATGTATTGCTAAAAACAAAGTAAGTACAGCAAAGAAAAAAAAGCTATATAAAAGACAAAAAAGAACATGGCAGTAAAAAATAAATGTGATTACCATAAATTAGTATAAGTAACATGAAAAAATGATTTTAATACAATGCACTAGTAAAAACAAGAGCATATAGTGAAGAAAAAAAGCTGTAGAAGAATAGTATGTGAATAGAAATAATATTAGTAATGTGATATTAAAATAAGGAAAAAAATTCTGTAATCAATTAATTAATTAATCGATTGATTGATTGATCAATCTGATTGTATATAAATAATGTATAACTATAAATTACATAAAGTAGTAATTATCACTACTGATTATTTTAACTTAAATTCTATATTATAATAGATTATTTAAATTATATTTATAATCAGTAATTAAATTTTAATAATTTTTTTTATTTTATAGAAAAAATATATATCTATTAAATAAAAAAAATATATTTATTTTAAATTAATAATTATTGTAAAGGATTAATATAAAACCAGATTCAACTTGAGATAATTAGATAGTTTTTGATTAATAATTATAAATTAGCAAATTAGTATTATTACTTCAAGTTAGATCTAATCTTATGTTGGTTTTTTACAATTATTAAGAAAATTAGATTGAAAGATTAAACTATAAAAATTTTGTTTTTATTAATTTTTTAGTTAATTATTATTTAAAATTATATGAAACTTATATAATAAATAAAAAATCTTTTTTTTATAAAATAATAAAATAATATTAAAATTAGATTAATAGTTATTAAAATATTTGTATAAAAATATAACTATTTATTAAATTTATCAAAATTCTAAAAGTAAAGTTAAATAACTTGCTAATTATGCAAGTATATGATCTAAAAATAATATAATAGAATTATTAAAGAATAAGGATTAATATAGAATCATTAAAAAGATAAGTTAATTAGTAAGTTTTGAAATTATAAACCAAGTTTTTAGGTGTGAAAATATTTTATCATCCTTCTGTATTACTTTGTTATATTATCTAATTTTATAATTTTCATCCATATGAATAAAAAAGAATTTTATTATAACTCTTACTATATTAAAAAAAGTTATAAGTAATATTAATTTTTGTTATAACCAAATGGCCTATAACAAGTCATAAAGTGGTATTGTAAATAGTAAAATAGTAAAGTATACTGCAAAAATTGTATTTTAGCATATAAAATTAGCATATCATACTCATAATATATTATATATAAAATAGTTTAGAAGAACACTATTAACTATGACTGAAAAAACATAAATTACACTGATATTTTTCATTATTTAAAGGTCTAAAAAAAGCACCATTGAAAGAATGTATCATTCAAAGGTCTAAAAAAGAATTTATATAATATTTGTTTAGAACTTTGGCATTTATTAAAACTAATTTAAAAAAAAAGATTTAGAAAGCTGTATTATATATATGTCTTTGTAAAGAAATGTAAATTAATATTCATGTAGTTTGTACAATTTAATTTAAAAACTACAAGTTTGAATATCAAATATCTTATTATTACATATTTTATCAAATCATTAC